GTATAAAGGAATATACCTCAACATAATAAAGGCCACGTATGACAAGCCCACAGCTAACATCATACTCAACAGTGAAAAGCTTAAAATTTTTCCTCTAAGATCAGGAACAAGACAAGAGTGCCCACTACTCTCACCACTTTTATTCAACACAGTATTGGAAGTCCTAGCCAGAGCAATTACGCAAGAAGAAGAAATAAAATGCATCCAAGTCAGAAAGGAAGAAGTAAAACTGTATCTATTTGTAGATGACATAATATTATATATAGAAGACTCTAAAAGACTCCACAAAAAATCTGTTAGAAATAATAAATGAATTCAGTAAAGTTGCAGGATACATAATTAATACACAAAATCATTTGCATTTGTATACACTAATAACGAACTACCAGAAAGAGAAATTAAGAAAACAATCCCATTTACAATTGCATCAAAAAGCATAAAATACCTAGGAATAAATGTAATCAAGGAAGTGAAGGACACTGAAAACCATAAGACATAACTAAAAGGTATTCTGTGCTCATGCATTGGAAGAATTACTTGCTAAAATGTCCATGCTATCCAAAGTAATCTAAAAATCCAGTGCAATCTTTATCAAAATCCCAACGGCATTTCTCAGAGAAATACAACAAACAATCCTAAAATTTGTATGGAACCACAAAAGACTCCAAGGAGCCAAAGCAACCTTGAGAAAGAAGAACAAAGCTGGAGGCATCACATTCCCTGATTCAAAACGATATTACAAAGCTATGGTAATCAAAATAGTACGGTATAATCATTAAAACAGATACATAGACCAATAGAATAGAAGAGAGAGCCCAGAAACAAACACACGCATATACAGTCAATTAATTTAAAACAAAGGAGCCAAGAGTATACAAAGGGGAAAGGACAGTCCCTTCAATAAATGGTGCTGGGAAAACTGGAAAGCCACGTGCAAAAAAACGAAACTGGACCAGTATCTTACACCATACACAAAAATCAACTCAAAATTGGTTAAAGACTTGAATATAAAACCTGAAACCATAAAACTCCTAGAAGAATACAATGGCAGTCAACTCCTGACATCGGTCTTCAAAATGATTTTTGGGCTTGACACCAAAATCACAGGCAACAAAAGCAAAAATAAACAAGTGGGACTACATCCAACTAAAAAGCTTCTGCACAGCAAAGGAAACCATCAACATAACAAAAAGGCAACCTACTGAATGGGAGAAATTATTTTCGAATCATATTTCTCATAAGGAGTTAATATTCAAAATATAGAACGAAATCATATAACTCAATAGCGAAAACCAAACAATCCAATTAAAAAATGGGCAGAGGTTCTGAATGGACGTTTTTCCAAAGAAGACATACAGATGGCCAACAGGCACAGGAAAAGGTGCTCAACACCACCAATCATCAGGGAAATGCAAATGAAAACCACACTGAGATATCATCTCACACCTGTTAGAATGGCTTTTATCAAAAAGACAGGAAATAAATATTGACGAGGACGTAGAGAAAAGGGACCCTCATGCATTGTTGATGTGAATGTAAATTGGTACAGGCACTACTGAAAACAGTATGGAGGTTCCTCAAAAATTAGAACTACCATATGATTCAGCAATTTCACTTCTGGGTATTTGTCCAAAAGAAATGAAAACAGGATATCGAAGAGACGTCTGCATTCCCATGTCCATTGCAGCATTATTTATAATGGCCAAGACATTGAAGCAACCTAAGTGTCCATCAATGGATGAATGAATAAAGAAGACGTGGTATATATATACACAATGGAATATTACTCAGCCATAAAAAGAAGGAAATCCTGCCATTTGTGACAACATGGATGGACCTTGAGGGCATTAGGCTAAATGAAGTAAGTCAGAGAAAGACAAATACTGTATGATCTCACTTACATGCGGAATCTAAAACAAACCTCACCAAACTCATAGATACAGAGAACAGAATGGTGGTTGCTAGAGAGAGGCAGGGGTAGGGGGTGGACAAAAATGGGTGAAGGTGGTCAAAGGATGCAAACTTTCACTTACAAAACTAAGTCCTGTGGATGAAATGACCACAGTTAATAATACTGTATTGTATATCTGAAAGTTGCTAAGAGAGATCATAAAAGTTCTCATCACAAGAAAAAAATTTGTAACTATATGTGGTGATAGATATTAACTAGACTTATTGTGGTAATCATTTCACAATATATACATGTATCAAATCATTATATTGTACACCTGAAACTAATATAATGTTATATGTCAATTACGTCTCAATTTTAAAAAGCACATATTTTAAATGCACTAGTGGGACTCATAGAAGTCCAAAAAAAATTTAAAATGTAACAAGAATCAGTTATATTGGCATTGGCCACACTGGAAATCAGCTTCAACACCATAAACAGGTGGTATAAAAGGAATAAATGTATAAACAGAAGATTTAGAATCTTCTAACTCTAATAATCCATATTTCTATTTCTCAGTTTACTTAAATTTGGTCACTTATAAATCCCTCCATATTTTTATTAATTGGTTCTCCTTTTTTTCTTTCTAGTAATGCATTCTTTTTTCACAATATTACGACAATTGCCATTCTCTCAGATTTGTCTTATCATCACATTACACCTCTCCTTCCCCACACCAGATCTACTCACCTAGATTAAATTTGTCTCTTGGGTGTTCCCAGACCTAGATTACAGTCCGTACTGATACATACTTGCTAGCTACAAGAAAATCCTCCTCGGTACTATTGATCTCATTTCTTCTTTCCTCCTAGGGGACCATGAGCCATCATCCAGTCCCTTCTCTCTAGAGGCTTCTATTCTCCTGCCTCCTCCCTTCACCCTACAAACATTCTCTTGTCTCTTGCACCCTAAAAACAAAACTCCTCTACTGATCCAGCACTCCCTCTCTCTCTCTCTCTTTTCTCCTCTCAAAAGAGAAGCCTCATCTCACTGTTTTTATGTCTTCACCTCTACACCTCAACTTACTGTAAAAAAGTTTCCATCTCCATACATTCAAGATGTTGTTTTAAAGTCACTTATAACCCCTTAATTCCCAAATTCAATTAACACATGTCCTTACCTTGTTTGACTCCTTGGTGGCACTTAAAGCCTTGAACCTTTCTTTCCTTGTTGACATTCTTTTGTCCCATGATTCCACCACACCTGCTCCACAAATGCACCTTCTACTACCTTTCCCGTTCCTTTTCAGTGACATCTTTTTTTTGCATACCCTCTCACTTTCCTATCAAATGTTGCTCTCCAGGGCTCTGTCCTTGGTCCTGTACTGAAGCCACAAATTTCTCTGGGAAAACCAATCAATTCCTATTGTTTTAGTTACCACTTCTTTTCTATGACTCCTATGCTTAAATATTTAGCCCTAAACTCTCTACTGCAGTCCAGATCTCACATCTCTGGCTGTCCCCTGGATATCTTCTCTACCTACTCGTTACTAAGCCCTATAAAATCTATTAGATCTCTTCTGCATTCCTTTCTTTGGAGTGACTGTATTTTACACGCAAAAAGGAAATTTAACTGAATATTCGGTAGCCAGAAGGGCAGACCGTGGTACTCTTATATGCTGTTTATTTCTGTTTCTTCTCTTTCTAGACACATGGTGGAATTGTACTTCACCACTCCTTTGAATTTAGGTGCGCTATATGACTTGTTTTGCCCAATGAAATGTATTGAAGGTGATGTGTGTTACTTCTAGGCAGAAACCTTTGAAAACTGGCATACACATAATTTTCTTCCCTTCTTCCTGCTATGACAAATGGCAGCATTGCAGAGGAAAGAGGCTCCATCACTTGTATCCTTATGTGAGGATGATGTGGAACAGATCTCCCACCAACCAAAAATGGACTTACAGCTTGAGTGAAAAATAAATCTCTATGATTTTAAACCAGTGAGATTTTGAAGTTATCTGTTATTGCCATATAGCACAGCCCAACCTTACCAATTCAAGATCCAAAATCAAAGTCATTATTTTTTCCCTGCACACTATTAACAGAATCAAACAACATAAAACCATCTCATCTGCTCTCCCTCCTATATTCCCTATTTTCTTTGTTTTTGTTTGAGCCATCACCATCCACCCACTTAACCAGTCTAGAAACCTGGGAGCACATCTAGACTCCACTCTCATGTCTCATTTATGATTCAGGCACTTCTGTAGATTCTATTTCCTAAGTATCCCTAAAATATATTCTTTCATTTCCATCCTTAGTGTACAGCTTCTCACTGTCTGTTGCCGGAACTATTGCAGTGACTTTGTAAATGATCTCCTTGTTTCCACTGTCAGCCTTCCCTAAATCTGTCTTCCAGATGGCTGTGACAGTGATTTTTATAAGACGCAGACTTGGACCATTCTACTCTCCTGCTTAGAATCTTTCACCAGTGCTTACAGAAAAAGCCAAAATGCTTCGTCATGGCGTATCAGGCTCTTAACAGTCCAAGCACTTTCTATCTCCTCAGCCACATCTCCAATCCAGCAACCCCTAACACCTAGAAGGATTCCTTCTTCTCCTTCCACTCCCGCACCACAGCCACACAGACTATGCTTTTTCTTGACTGATCCTTCTAGAGATTCCAATTTAGGTTTCATTTACTCTAAGAAGGCTTTCCTGGTTGTCCCAAACAGAGTTATCAATTCCCTCCCTTGCGCCACTTCTCTGCTTAAAATGTTCTTTTGTTACTGAATATGGCACTTTTTAAAAACCCTTCCTTTGTGACAGCCATAGATAGCAATGACTGTAATCCTCCTGAGGGCAGGGGAATATCTTATTCACCACTACATCTGGCAAGCACAGCACAGGGCCTGTTACAGACACTTCAAAACACTTCAGTTTATGGAACTGAAATGATAACCTATTTCATCAGGTAGCTTAACATCTGTTAAGGCTTATATTTTTTAAATAGTTTAAAATGTGTTGAGAGCTTACTACATGTTAGGCACTGTAGCAAGCATTCTCTAAGTTTTATTTTATTTAGTCTAACAATAATCCTAGGCATTGAGACATGCATTAGGTACCTATTGTTACCGATTTCATTACCTGAAGCAAACCATATCTCACCTTCCTGTCAGGTAGACCATTATAGGCCCTCAGGTATCAATTAGATGGATTATTTTCCTCTGCAGGACTTGGATGAATAGCAGAGACACTATAGTTTACAGGCAAGGTTTGCAACTTTTCAGAGGAAGTTCAGCTCTATTATTTAAAACATTTTGAAAAAAATTATGACTGTATACATCATCTTTCCTTTGAAACACAACACTTTTTGTCAAGTTTAATGGACCTCTGTAGTAAGTGAGGGGTAACTTAAATAAGAGAAACGGGCACAGAGGTTGACTAACTTGTCACATATAACTTTTCAAGATGTCATTATCATTCTACACATACTCTGCCCTCACAAGAAAATTTTCTAATTATCAGTGAGTGACAAAATGCCACGTAGTGACAGAACTGTATGATGAAACTCAAGACTCACCTTCTGGGAGCACTGAGTAGGTGTTGCGGAAATTTACAAAGATATGAGAAGATAATATAGAACTATATTCCCAAATCACATGACTTCAGTCTCTGGCATCTTGGCCGGAGCGTTGTCTTTTACAATTCACCTCTTATGAATTTTTTTTATTTTCAAATAATAATTGGCAGATGTATGAACCTAGACTGCCAATACATCAAAAAACAAAACAAAACAAAACCCGATATTCCTTTCATAAGGAGTCCATTCATTCACCCATCTTGTGACAGAAAGAGGAATTAAGGCCATTCCTTTTAATTTACTCTGCATCCCAGCTTTTAGAATATGGGATGCAGAATCAGTTGTATTTGCCAAAGGCCAAAATACCGTGAGACTTGGGCGAGTCAAGCAATTACTGCCACTTGGCCTTTTTGCAGAAATACACAAAACGTGTAGAATCGCTTGATTTTATCCCCTCCTAGCTCTTCACTTGGAAATTGGCTGCTCGGGCGAATGTTGTTTTTCCCCGCAGCCATGTGTCGAAGAGCGATTAACACTCGCTCGACAAAACTGGTCCGCGAGCCATTTGGGAGTTACACGCGTTCACACCCGGGATTCAGCCCGGTGCGCCTTCACGCGCAGCCTTTTTGTTTACGCGGCTCGCAGGGCCGAGAGGGGCGGAGAGGGAGCGACCCTCTAAATCCGCAGCAGGCCGCGGGGGCTATATAAGCTCGGGTCTCCGGCCGGTGGGTGGAACGGGCCAGGCCTGCGGTGAGCGGGCAGCGCCTTCGCCGGGCCCGCCGCGCCATGGAGACCGCCGAGCGCTGGGGACTCGGAGCCAGCGAGGGCGCGCGCCGCCGCCGCCTGCTGCCCGCGGACCCGGCGGCCTCCGGGTACAGCGCCCCGGCCCCGCCCCGCGCGCCCCCCGCAGCCCTCCCGCCCGCACCTCCCCGGCTCCTCCCCGCCGCTCTTCGCCCCCACAGCTCCCGGGCCCCGCTCGGCTGCCGGCGTGCTCGCGGGTCCGCGCTCACGTCTCCCCTGCGCGCCTTGTGTTCCCCACCCCGCAGATCCGCAGGCTTCTGGAGACCGTGGGTTGACGCCCGAGCCGAGGAGGAGGAGGAGGAGGCGCCGCACCACGCCGCCGAGGCGGTGAGTGAGCCGCGCGGGGCTGGCCGAGCGCCGAGGGCGCAGATGCCCGACGGGGCTGGGGACGTCGGGCCCGAGGGAGACGCGCGCCCGGCCTGCCCCTCGCTTAAGATCGCGCCTGCCGGTGGCCCTGTCGGTGCTCATGCGGCAAGTGTGTCCTCCAGAGCAGCTGGGACATACGGATCGGACCGAGAGCGAGGCTGCTGAGAGCCCAGGGGTCGTATTCCCTGCGGGCTCGAGGGACGCTGGGTCGCGCGCGTTTCCAGTTTCTGGAAGGTGAGTGATAACTGCGATTCATCTCCTTACGCCCCCAGATGCCAGGTAGCCCCGGAATGCCAGAAGCCTCAGGAAAGCTTTTCCGATACAGGCACCCAGTCAGGTGAGTGACAGGCCTCACCGAAGGTCTCCTGCTCCTCCAGCCCTGGGAAGAGCCGGGGGTATCACACAGCCCAGCTCAGCGGCTAGTCCTGCGGTTTTTCTCTCTTGGAAAAATCTATCTTCAAGGTGACTTTATCCTTCCTGTCCCGGAGGTCCTTTAGTCATCGAATTGAAAACTATAGGAGCTCAGGCTGTCACCTAAAGGAACTGTTAATTGGTGCATACTCCGTAAACACTTAAAGAATATGTTATAAAGAGGGAAGGTGGAGGGCTTAGTAAAAGTGAAACCGTTACGTCTTGTACCTGCGAAACAGGTTTTTAAATTTTTATTTAATGCCAAATGGTCCGAAGGAAATTGACTTCACGCCAGGCAGAGCGTGTATATTCTTATCCTCTTGCAAACCAGAAGGAAGATGGTGTTCACAGTTGTAGTTTTACAACAAATCAAACAAATCCACCTTGACATGTAAGAGAAAATGGAAATGTGATGAAAATCCCAAAGATTGCTAAGGATCGTAAAAAGGGATCGAAAGTTATTTGACCTAACAACCAGGAGCTAGTTTACTCTTCCTAGCCACAGGAAATCTGCTTTTCTGTAGGATTCTTTGTAGCTAATATTCAGGTGAAAGGTTAATTTTGCAGTGTGCCTCCTTCTGAGAGCTGTTAAAGAGCTATATGATATTTGTAAAATGCATATGTGTTTATAAATAGCACATAGTAGTCAATACATGTTGATTCATTTCCTGCAGTGTGCTAGCACTGAGGAAGGACACAGGAAAAAAATAATCACAGCCCATGACAGGTGTTGAAATAGAATTTTGCTTGGTCAGTTTTACAAGTACCTACAGGGCATGAAGTACCTAACTCTGCCAGAGGGAATGGGGAAGAGTCAGGGAGGTGTGTATCATAGGTTGTGGTTACCTGGCTGAGTCTTGAAGTTAGCCAGATGGACGGTAGGTGGGAGAGGTGGGGGCAGAAGAAATAGCATAGGGAAAAGAGATAGCCTGTCATGGAGCAGCATGGCTCCTTCTGGGAGCATTAAGGAACTGGAATTTGGGTGTGCGAAGTTGTGGTCATTCCAGCAGGGAAGCCAGAGGCCAGGTCTTGTACACCCTGGTACAGAGTTTTGTCCTGATCCTGTATGTGAAGCTGGGAACCCATGGACTTTATTCTGTAGGTGGTATTGGCGGTTACTTAAAGGATTTTAACCAGAAGAGTGGTGTGATCAGATTTATGTTTGAGAAAAATCACTAAGGAAATAGTATATAGGCTCAGTTGGAACACTGAAAGTGAAATTGGAAGTTGTTACCATTGTTCAGGCAAGAATGATAAAGAGCCATTCTAAGATACTGGTAGTGGGGGTGAGACCGGTGAATTTGAGGAATACTTAGATGGCAAAATGGATTAGGCTTATGATGTATTGGATATGGTAGATGAAGAAGAGGTAAAAAAAAAAACCCAGAATGGCTCCGAAGTTTGTGGCTGATGACCAGGTGAATGTTGTACTAACAGAATGGAAATTAGTGCTAAAACAACAAGATAATGAGTGCAATTTTCCATTTATGGTGTTTAATGTGCCTGTCAGGCATCCAAGTAGAGATGTCCATTAGAGAGCTGCATATATAGATCAGAGGCCCAGCGTCAAGATATTAAGTAGAAATACAGACTTGGCAGCTTTTGGTAAATGAACAGTGGGGCAATTCATGGAAGTGGGTCGGGTCTTCCTGGGGTATCAGAGGGGAGAGATGATCACTGTTGATAAAACCATGGGGGAAGGCCAACATCTCACTTGTATAAGAGATAGGGAAGTCCACAAAGGAGACCGAGAAGAATCACTCAGAACAGGGGGCATTTCAGGAAAGTGTGGAGTCCATGGAAGGAAATGGTCAGGGAGAAATTCTGGGCTGGGTGTGATAGAACTGAACAACGTTCTTTGGGTTTGGCAGTTCCAGTTACACATTAAAAAATAATTAATTTCCTATATAAACAATTCCTTTCTTTTCTGAGTTACTGTAGCGCTATATTTGTACTTCTCTTGTTTTATTTTTATTCATTTCTATTTTGAGTAGTACTGTGTGTTTCTGGTTCTTTTTATTCAATTGTCAACTTCTTGAGGGTAGGGAACATGATTTCTTTACCTTTGAATTATTAATTATGTTTGGCACAAGAGATCACTAAAATATTGAATGAATTACTGATGGTTACTTATTTAGGCACCAAAATTATAATTTTTTTACCATTTTGCTAAAAACATAAAATACATTGCTTTTTTTTTGCCTTTTAAAATGGAATATACCGAACATAATGTAGCTTGTCTTTGTTAGAATCACTCTATTACATGGGTACATGGGGCTATTTACACTAAAATGACCACACTGTAGTTGGTGATTCAGCCTTATCCCTGCTCTTTTCTTTTCTTTGGATGAAAAATAATAGGAGACAAGATGGCCAGATTAATATTTGTCAGAAATTTGAAAGTCTGAGGTAATCATGTTTACATGCAAATTGTTTGTGTAAAACCGGTATCATTTTCGATATGTCCATATGGTGTTCCCAAATTTAGTTGGACAGGGAAAGAGGAGGCGGATGGGATCTAAGTTGGGATCAGAGGTAGCCTTTCTCTACCTCAAGCTGTGAGTGCATAGACAAACTTTTAAAAATACTGCTTTTTGTACTTTTCTAAACTTACCTTGGTTACATCATAATTAAGAGCTAAATCTGTGAATTCTAATCAAGGTGATTGCTGCCTTTGTGTAAGGTGCATAAAATATTGTCATCTTTATAAAGTTGGTATTGTTAAAATTTTTAATGTTGTGGTGGGACTCATTTTTTCCCCAAAAGGATTAGGAAATTGGAAGACAAACTTTCTTCTGCATTTTCTAAGAATAAATATATCCATAATGCCCGAAGTAAGCCAAATGTGATCTTATGTCCACACAAGACATAAGTTTAGTGTGAATTTGATCTACTTTACAGCTTGGGTAAAGATTTAAAATAGTCTACCAGTTATTGATACTTTGGCAAGTAGACTCCATGAAAACTGTGGTAGTAGCATTTTTAAACTCTCTCTCTTAAGGCTGTATCTAAATGCGTAAATCAATTGTTAAATATATGGAGCTCTTGAAATTTGAACATTTCATGAGTATAAGGATTCTGAATGTGAAAAAAATAAAGCATATTATGTTGTCTGCCTCTTTCAGACTATTTTGGCCAAAGTCAAAGTGTTATGATTACTTATATCAAGAAGCAGAAGCTCTTCTGAAAAATTTTCCAATTCAAGCCACAATTTCATTTTATGAAGATTCTGATAGTGAAGATGAAATTGAGGAGCTGATCTGTGAAAATTAATGTGACTAGTTACCTTTGATGATATTAAAAACTTATAGGATTTAAATTTGTGTACAAATGTATCATAATCCTTTTAAACTAATTTATTTGTATATAAATTATTAATAAAATGAAATCTTTTGTAATTATTATGATAGTTTGGCCTTTATTTGTCCCTACACTATAGTTCAATGTTGGAATTTAAAAATAGGTGCCATTTACAAATGCCTTGATTGTATTGAATTTTGATCTCCTCATCAAATTACAAACTTATCATTAGTTATAATTTTGCAAATATTTAGTCATAACTTTGCAAAGAATGACAGTACTTAATTTTCAAGACTGAATCTTGTAACATTTATTTCCTATTGATCCTCATTAGATGTTGTAGTTACACATGAGTATTGCCTTATTAGATAATGAAGAAAATTGCCTTATGTTACCAATCACACATTATTATTATGTATTTGCTAGCAGATCATGAAAAACACTTTAGATCATTGTCTATAATTGAGAGTGGGAATCAATGTTAGGGCCATTAAATTTTAGGGATTTTTAGTGAATGATGAGTCTGTAATTCTCACTTTAATCCTCCTTCGCTGTCCTTAAATCCAGTAGTAAAACAGTGTGGGGGTTCAATACTTACAACACTACATCGAGGGGTCCCCAGAATTAAAATAAAATGTTTAAATGGACACGACTTACATGGAGTCTAAAGAAAGGGGAGCCAAAAGGCCAGAATTTGGTAGTGTTTTTCCATTTCTGTCTAAGGGGAGCCCAGAAATTTAGCAGATATGAAACGTTCTCCAGCAACATCGCCTTCCTTTGCTCTGGTTCGCTGCTCCTGATATGCTCATGTAAAAATTTTCTCAGGGGGAGCGAAGTAAGAAATTTTCAGTGATTAGCATATTTAAGGTAGACATAGAAAAATTTTTTTAATGAGAGGGAAAACAGGAGCACTTTGCAAGGTAGAGGTAACATAGTAAACTATGGTAATGAAATTCTTTTAGCAGATACAGTCTTTTCACAATACACATTTCAATTGCAAATAAAAATGTTCCTATAATATTCCAGAATGATGATGGGCAGAGGTGAAGGCAAGAGATGGTTATCTAGGTAAGAAATGCCTTTTACTTGAATGTCTACATATATTCACACATATTTGCCTTCTACATATATTTGCCTTCTAATTGGAAAAATATTACAAATGTTGATTTACAGGCACTTTAAGGACAAGGCAATTGAAATAGAGCAAGTTCAAACCGTGTTTCAGAGTCAGGAAAAGTTAGTAATGGAAGGGATGGGGAGAGTTATTTAAAAGTATATTTCTTCCCCTGAAAACTTTCTCCCTTCACTGGATTCTACTCTCAGGATGTGTGTGTTCCCCGAGGGATGTGTGAAAACCCCACCAGGTCACCAATCTGGACCTTGAGCATTAGGGACTGATGTTCATCTGCACAGTGTTTGTGCTTCTCTCAATATGTTGGAATAGTTTGAAGAGCCATTTAATGAGTGCTTACTATTAACCAGGCACTGTACTATGTAATTTACGTATGACAACTCATTTAATTCTTACTAAAACCTAAACCCATTATGCAGATGGGGAAAATGAGGCTTTGAGACACTAAAGAAACTTGCATAAGGCTGCTCATTTATTAATTTCAGGGATGGCATCCAAACTAAACTTATCTGACTCTTAAACGTTCAACATTACGATTGGGGGCGGGATACGTCAGTACACAATTCCCTGTATCTTTCAGGGAAGTCAGGGAGTTAGATGAGGAGAAAGAATTTGTGAGTGGGCGAATGGAACTGAAGGAGAATTTACCAACATCTTTGACTCATTCGTCAGTCATTAGCGACGGTTTTTAAAGATAAAGTTTTCTCTTCACCCCACAGGAGTGTCTGTTTGCATTTGGCACCTTGGCTCTTAAAGGTTCATTTTCCTATACAGCTTGGTGTCTTAGTGGAGAGAGTTTCAGAGAAATCAAAATGCTTTGATAGTTTATTTTATTCCATACTTTAAGTAGTGTTATGTTAGCGCTTAACAATGGACAGACGCTTGTGTTCCAGGTTAAAAGGACTCTACAAGAATTTGTTCTCAGATTCGGTCAGCACCAAAGCTAAGGAACAGCTTCACTCTGTTTATTCTTCCCACGGAATAGCTGTCACCTCCTGGCGGTGCTGAAGTTCATGGTGCGGGACTAACGGAGCATGCGTACTTCCCCCTGGTTCCACCCGAGCCCGCGCTTCGCCAGGCCCGTTGGCTCCGCCCCCCGCGGCCTGGACGTGCTGCGTCATGGCGTGCCTCACCCCGGGCGACCCCGGAAGTGGGTCGGGGGCTTGGCCTCTGCCCGGCCTCGGAGCCGGAGCGGGAGGTGTTACTCGAAAGGGGTCGAGCCGAGCGATCCCGTCCAGCGGTGGAGCCCGGGCAGGGCCCGGGCCAGGGGTCCAGGATGCTAAACGTCCCTTCCCAGTCTTTCCCCGCCCCCAGCTCACAGCAGCGCGTCGTCGCCGGGGGGCGTAGCAAGGTAAGAGGGTGATACCGTCGGTGTCGCCCAGCGCTCGCCTCCTGCCGGCGTCTGGTGTTCTCGCTACCGCCCCCTCTTCCACCCTCTGCCCCCTCTCTAACCCTCGTTCCCTCCTGCCCTTGCTGTGCTCTCTGCCGTCTCCAGTCCTCTAACTCTCCTAATCTCCCTCTCACCTGCTAGCCCCTTTTCTCTCCCATCCCTTCATCCCTGTCAGTTTCCTTCTGCCAAGTCTTTTCCCGCTCATTAGATTCAGCTGTCTGTGGTAGGGCCAGGCACTGTGCTTGCTGTGTTGTAGGTACTCAGTATTAGCTTCCTTCCCTCAACCTGTCCCCCTCTCCGCTCTTTTGTTCTTCACTTGCTGAAGGAGTTGTGAGTGATGTGGGTTCCCTAGCAGAAGGGAAAGGTTGGGCATTGGCGACAGTGAACCGCGACCATCCCACCAAGGGTGGGGACTCTGGGAGATAGGGGAGTCTGGAGAAGCGAGAATAAATGTCTGCAAACCTCCGGTTAGGTTTACGGACACTTCTCCAGGTCATACCGCCTTTCTTTCTTCCTCTGGTGCGTCATTGTTTCATCACTGCCTCTTCTACTGATAGCACTTGCTGACTTTGAAGCTAATATAATACTATAAGTTTTTGTTAGCATAGTTACTGTTAGCAACAGGTGGAATACAAATGTATTTTACATTTGCAAAATTTAATAAAATTGTCTCCTGTGTTCATTGCAACATGTATATGCTTGCTCCTGTTGTTAGTTCCTCATTCTATAACCACATCTTTATGTTTTGTTTTTGAGACTTCTGCCTACTTGGGCCATTCCTTTTTCGTTTCTGGACTCTTGGGTCTTAGCATCATTTGGGACCTTCACTGACTTTTTTTTCTGCACTTAGACCTGGAATTTGACTCTAGATCAGCAATATGGGTTCAGGCATCTGTAGTTTTCTTTAGCTTTTTAGAAATCTGTGACCGCAACTATAATAATCATTTACCTGAGATTTATTCAGTGCTTACTGATGGCCATGTATGTTCTGATTGCTTTGTATGTGTTAACTTGTTTGGTCTTTACAGTGATCCTATGAAGTGGGTGCGTTTGTTATCTCCATTTCACAGCAAAGGAAACTGGTTAAGAAATGTTGCCCTGGAGCCTGTAGGCTTGATGTGATGTGAGTCTGGCTGTGACATTTCATTTCTTGCTCCATATATCATCCAGCCATCTAATCGTGTGTTTCCTCCTCCTTGATATTTGACCTGTTTCTCTTCTTAAGCTAAATACTTGGCTGAATAGTATAGCCTTTCCAGAGAAAGAATTTATGAATTAGAATATAAGTTGCTGCCCTTCTCCATTAAAACTCCCACTCATGTTCTCAGCATCTATTTAGAGTCAAAGACAAAAGGTTCATAGGTGGTGATGGCAAAGGTGAATCTTTGGGTCCAAAAAGAGAACAAAGTAAGATTATTGTGCAATTCAAAGGGAAGCTAAGATGATTTAATTTTTTTTTTCCCTTTGTGAAACAAGCTAATTTTGAACAGGTTGAAGCTGAGCCAGGATTGTATGAAATGGGTAGAGATTGAGAAAATAGAATGTAATTGAGGAGGTGGTTTATCATGATTGTTAAAATCACAGACTTTGGAGTGAAAAAGACCCAGATTCCTTTCCCAACCACACCGCTTAACCTCTTTGAGTCTGAGTTTCCTCAGTGTCCATGGGAATAACAGTATGCATTTTATGGGGTTGTTCATAGGATTAAATGAGATAGTGTTTTTCTTAGCACAGTCTTGGTATATGGTAAGCATTCACTAAATGTTACTTGTGCTTAGGCTTTTGTTCAGATCTCATGGATTGTTGTGGGGTTGTTATATAAAGCCCTTAGCACAGTGCCTGGCAGAGTATGCACTCAATATGTGGTAGCTGTTATTATTTCTACTAACACTAGTAAATGAATATTTATTGAGAACCTACCATATGCTGGAGACGTGGTCTCTGTTTTTGAGGAGTTGAGTCTAATAGGCCGCACAGACTTTCTGTGGAAAGTGATAACTGCCTAAGTGCCATACCAGTGGGTTACGACCGTGAAGGAGTTGGGCTCAGAGAAGGCTTCTAATCACCTAGGACTTCTCACACCATCACATGGGGGCTTAGGATTCCAACACAGGAATTTGGGGGGGGACATACACATTCAGTCTGTGGAATGTGCCTGCTTTTACACTAAACATTCCCCTGGTACTGTGTTACAAACTGCTTACACAAGTTTAGACAGAAGCCCTTTCCCATAGGGTATCTTAAAAAGTTTCCACTAAGTTGTCTTAACTGGTTAGAATACTAACAATACCTCTCATCTAAAATCCTTGAAAAATGTATTTTTTTTAAAAAAAAGACATAAAAAAACCAAACCTCCTGTTATTAAATCCTCTGGGCAAGGGTAGGCAAACATTTCTGCAAAGGGCCGGATAATACATATGTGAGACTTTGAGGACTGTGTAAGGATCCCGTCTCGTCACCACCGCCGCCACCGCCGCCACCACCACCACGTGTGAAAGCAGTTCTTAACTCGAGGCCTCTACAGAAACAGGCACAGGCCACTTTGCCAACCTCTTCCTTAGAGAGTTACAGTTTTCTTATTTTCTATTATTTGATGACCATTGTGTCTCAGTGGATACTTAGAAAACCAATTGCTGCCTAATAACTTCTAATGTTCTGTGTAATATTGACCATCCAGAAAATCAACTTTACCCAATTGTTTATGTTTTCTTCTGTCAAATCTCTTTTGATTTTTAAGGCAGAGAAATTTTGGTCTAAATTGATCAGCAACCAGAACCTATTAGTGACAGAGCTGGGACCAAAACTTGTTTCTGACACTAGGTTCACTACTATTCTTGTTATACTGTGATACCATGATGATGAAGATTTGTGTGACAGAATTTCTAAGCTCTACCTCATAGCTCAGCTATTTTATATAATGTTTTATTTATCATTCTCATACAGCAAAAATGATTTTGACAACCTCCGAAAGGTGTAGGAAGATCTGTAGAATTGTTAGATTTGAGTTTTCTTGTCTTTCTGAGTGGGAGTAAGAGTACTGAAGTAGCCCGAAGACGAGCAGCAGGAGAGGACGGGAGAGCAGCTAACTCGAAGAAGCCACAGTGGATTTTTCCTTTTTCAGGTACCTCTCAAACAGGGCAGGAGTCTTATGGATTGGATTCGACTGACCAAAAGTGGAAAGGACCTAACGGGATTAAAAGGCAGGTTAATTGAAGTAACTGAAGAAGAACTGAAAAAACACGACAAAAAAGATGACTGTTGGATCTGCATAAGAGGTAGGTGATATTATATACTGCACAAAGTTCAGCTGGGCTTTGAAATGCTGTCTGACTCCGTGGTCCTATTATTTGGTGATATGATTCACAACTAGATGATGAAATATGCCTTATTCTGGCCAAGAGGTTAGATAATTCCAAATTTGGATAGTATTTCTTTCTGACGTAACTGTTTACATGGCATCCCTAAACTGTATTCCCTTTGAAAGAAAACAAATATTTGCTGGGAAATTTAATACCAAAGTAGTAAAATTATTCTGTAACACCTAGTTTGTATAGATTAATGTTTCACCTTTGTGCCTTGTAACAGAATTCTGTCAGAAAAAAATGTCTCTGAGAATCTATAGTAAATCAGAAAGCCCACGTTAAACCCAAATCTTCAGTTCTCACTTGCAGCAATTTTTATTCGTTAATGTATGATTTCTTAGCAATATTAGTTAGGGCGGATTAGAGAGAGGGATCAGAGATGGAGGATAGGAGGGTAGCTGAGAAAAGCAGACCTCATGGTATCCAACAGCCTGGCATCTAGGAAGGGAGCAAAGCAATAAGGGGGTGTGGAATTGTGCAGTGGGCCTCCATGGCAATGTCCTTGAGTCGTCCATACCTGGGGAAATGTGTCCACCATCCTCTGGTGGGAGTGTGTCATTTATTGCTATTATCACAATTGTAATTTTTTCATTGTATAATTTTGGTTTGTTGTTAGTTATCCTGGTTACACTGAAACCTGTATGAGGGCAGCAGCCATGTCAGTCACACTGCTCTGTCCTTGGTGCCTGGCACTCAGAGGTCATCAATATGTGTTTGTTGAATGAATGCAACACTTATCCATTTTAAGAAGTTTGGTTACGTAAAGAGGTGTGTGGTTGTCACAGTGGTTGGTGGTATGATAAATGGAAAGACACCAATAGACGCCAGTTAGTTTGCTAGGGATGCCCAAACAAAACCCACAAACAGGGTGGCTTAAATGACAGACATTTATTGTCTCACAGTTCTGGAGGCTAAAGTCTGAGATTGACGTGCTGGCAGGGTTGGTGCCTTCTGAGGGCTGTGAAGAAGAGTCTGCTCCATGCCGCTTGCCTTGCTTCTGGGGGTTTGTTGCCAGTATTTGAGCTACTTGGCTTGTGGAAGCATCACCCGATCTCTGTCTTTATCTTCACATAGCGTTCTTCCTGTGTGCTTGTCTGTCCAAATTTCCTGTTTTTATGAGAACACCAGTCATGTTGGGTTAGGGGTTTACCCTACTCCAGTATGACCTCATCTAGTCACATTTGCAATGACCCTATATCCAAATAAGGGCCCGTTCTGAAGTACTGGTGGTTAGGACTTCAGCATATGACTTGTGGGGGTGCACAGTTCAATCCATAACAGACGTAATTAGAGTGTGAAATTTTTGTCAGTGGCAGAGGGGATGGGATCTTCCAGCAGGTGATGATATAGCTCGTCCCAAGACGCAAGAGTAGCTGCTCAACTCCCCACAGTTTCTCGGGGAAATGCAGCCGTGGATAGTACCAACAACCGGGAATGAGGATTCTGCCAGGTGCAAAAAACTCCTTGGTTACTTTATAGGGTTTTTGATTCCCTCCTCACCCTCCCTCCATGTTGCCTGACTGTTTACCAGGTACACGTAACTGGTATAAGGGGACCTCCCCACTCTGCCTGTGTGTTTTCTGCTAGGCTGGGTGAAGTGGAGGTCAGTTCCCAGGAGCATCCCTGAGCTGGCCTAGGCTACAGGCATGTCTGAGCTCTGTTTCTACAGTAGGAAGCTATGTCTCCAGAAAATTCGCTTATGTGAACCCTTCATATCGAAGTGATATTGGGTAAAGGAGGCATTATTGTAACACAGTCATACTTTGTTATTCCTTTGATGTATTGATGGAGGTAAGGGACTGGTTTGCTATGGTTGAAAAGTACACTGCTCCCAGTTACATATCTCCTCTAATGATTGGAATGCATGGCACCTGTTCTGGTAAGGCTGTTGATTTAAGGGTGCATTTTTTTAAAGTTTCTGTTGGAGAATGAGTTTTATTAATAATAAGGATTTTTTTCCCCTTTCCAAAAGTAAGGTGTATCTTTTTTTTTTTTTTTTCCTGTTTGACTAGGTCAGTTTTTTATTTTATCAAGAAACCCCTTATTCAATTTAGGCCCTGCCCTTGGCATTTCTACTCTAGAGGAATGAACAAATGGCTGAGTGACTTGTGGCGAGAGGGCTCTAAAGAAAGTAATAGCAGATTGAAGGGAGGGAGACACGTGGCCTGGGAAAATCAGAGATGCTTTTGTGGTAGAGATGAACTTTGAAGCCGTGGACAGGATTTCAACAGGAAATGAAGAGGAAGTGCGTCAAGTGGAGGGAAAGGCCTAAGCAAGGGTACAGACACAAGAAGAGCTGGAGTTGAGTTCTGGAGCTTAGGTTTATGTTGGAGAATTATAAGAAAGAAGCTTGGAAAGGTGTGTTAGATCAGCTTGTGGAGGACCTTGAAAGCCAGGCTGGGACAAGTGTGCTTAATTTAGATGAAAGTGTGAGCTCGCAGAGGTGTTTGAGTGTGGGGGCAGTGTGATCAGTGTGCCTTGGGAAGATCAGTCTTGGGGTAGGCATAGGGAATGGAAATGGGACTGGGAAAGCATGTACTTCGTTACAGAAGTTCAGGTGGTAATAGGTGAACCAGGATGTTGACAAAGACAGTGGAAAGCAGGATGAATGTGAGACAAACAGATTACTGGTATTTTCTAACATGATCCTAAATGAAAGTAAAAGAAAGCATGTGACTAAATATAATTGACTTTGTCTTCTTAGCTGTTCTCCTTTAAAATACTAATGATACCTTCAAGGGGGAAATGTGTGCCAGATTTAGCATGGAAGGTCAGAGATAATGTTTGGACGCAAGTTTTAATCAAAGCTGTACCAGGGAAACATGATACCATGATATCAGGTTATTTTCATTTTTTAGGTATTAAATTCTTCATTTTTTAACAATTGCCCCATTTTTAGATCAGGTCAAAATTCAGCTGATCAGGCTGAGGGAGACAGTCTCCTCAAAAAATCTTAGAAGGGCCAGCCCCGTGGCCTAGTGGTTAAGTTTACCATGCTGTGGTTTGGTGACCTGGGTTCAGTTCCTGAACGGCAGACCTACACCACTTGTTGGTGACAATGCTGTGGCAGCGACCCACATAGAAAACAGAGGAAGACTAGCGTGGGTGTTAGCTCAGGGTGAATCTTCCTCAGCCACAAAAAAGAAATCTTAGAAAATATACACTTTGGTGTGGGTTTTTATAGCTAATATTTTGTGGACTATTTTCTTTTTTGAATATATAGCAGTATATTTCTGCTTTATGTTCAGGTGTGCTGGCTCAGGTCATGTTCCTAAAAATGATGGTGTAAAAAGAGCATTTGGCTGGCTGCAGACTGTGAAATGTATAAACTGTAAAACGTAGGCATTGGTATGGCAGGATCTCCAAGGCAGGAAACACGGACTTCCTAATTTGCTCACTTAATTCTCACCATTTTCTATAAAATGTGTAATTCATTTAATGCAATGATGGTTAATTGGAACAGTTAGGGGATGGGTAGGGGAGATACTGCTTTTTCAGAAACTTTGTTGGATTTACCATTAATTCATGCTTTTGTGGTTTTCTCCCTTATTTCTGTTTTTCCCTCTTTCAGGAAGTAAAGGTGGTTTACAAACCTGTGAAGCTTTGAGCAAACATCTAAATTGCTCGTCTGTGAGAGCGCTGTAGAGCCTGGATCAGACTGTTTCTGCTGGGATATATTCCTGTAGTGTGTAGTCAGCGTGCGTAGTGATGTGTTCAGTCATCAAGTCATTGTTTGGCAGCAGGACCGAGCCTTTGATCTGAATGAGGGCGAGGGCAAGTGTGGCCTGATACTTTCTAATAGTCGTTTGAATAAATTGTATTTAGAAAAAGTTGATTGCAGTCAATAGACTGGTGGCTCTCTTGTTAAAAATTTAGTAGATTAAGTTTTCCAGATGGGATTTAATAGATTTCATTTGTAACTTAGAAATGAACATTCTTTGATGTCTCCTAATGCTGATTGTCATAGACCATAAATTAAAGAGGCCTGCTTGAGACCCCAGAAAAAGTGACTTTTAATGGGTCTGTATTTTTCGTGTTTCGTAATTATTCACAAAACTGTGGCAAATAGGTTCTAAGAAGTAGTATGTAGCCCTATGATATTTTTATTCACCTTCCTAGATTTCTAGGTTCATTTATAATAAAGCTTTTTAAAATTTACTCAATGGTAGTGTAAATTTTTGTGAATACAGTTGATCCTCATTATTCGTGGATTCCTGCTTTGCAGATTTGCCTGCTCACTAAAGTTTATTTGTAACCCCAAAATCAGTACTCTCAGTACTTTCGCAGTCATTCGCGTGCACACACAGTGCAGTGAAAAATGCGTGTCACTCGCTCCTAGCTGAGGTCAGACAAGGTGATGCTCTGCCTTTGTGTTTCAGTTCTCATACTGTAAAGAAAGGTCTTTTTTGCAGTCTGTTTTGTGCCACGTTTTTCACATTTTGTGCTTGCTTTTGTGATTTTGCTGTTTACAATGGCCCCCAAGGATAGTGCTGAAGTGCTCTCTCAAGAAGGCTGTGATGTGCCTTATGGAGAAAATACCCAGGTTAGATAAGCTTTGCTCAGGCTTGAGGTGTAGTGCTGCTTGCTGTGAGTTCAGTGTTCATGAATCAACAATATGTATTGAATAAGGTGTCCTTAAACAGAAACACACAATAAACAAGGTTATGTATTGATTGGTGGACAAAATGTTGTGACCAAAGTCTCGCAGGAACCTAATCCTATATTTTCCCCTAAAAGCAATGGTTCAGTATTCACTGATTCAGTGTTTGCGGTGAGTTTATAGAAGGTAACTGCTGTGAGAACGAGAATTGACACTATTTCTTTAGACTATCTTTTACTGATACTGCAGTAATAATAAAGTAAATTAAGTGTTATACTTTTTAGCTTAGATTCAAGCCCACCATGAATAGAGT